CAGTCTGTAGTCAAAAATGATGATTGTGACCAACACTTAAGGAGAAGTACATCCAAAGCTCCTCTAGCTGTACTTCACCTGTGTATCACAGAAGTGCATTTCGTCCTGCACTCCTGTGACCCATTTTCAGCTGACTGCAGGCTCAAATTTCCTGTTGGCTGATGTCTCAATTGTTCCAGGCTGGGGAAAGATCAACCTCAAAGTCAGGACCCACCCCAGAGTCTGCAACGGCACCAGGCTCAGGGGAAAGCATAGAGAACTTACTTATATTACTACTCTATACTCTGAGCTGAGAGGAGAACACAGCAATCAGCGGTCATGTGATTGCTGAGTTCTCACAATAAGAGTCGGGGGACAGATGCAACATCCACCTTTTACATAGGAAGTGATATTTATAGTTTCACAATGCCTACTTTGGTAAAGATCACAGATGTATGACCATTTGTGCTGTTTGCAAATATCAGTACTTCCTCTTTTTTGTAGTCCATTTGAACACACATACAACATGCACAATGCTAATGCTACTTCCATCAATTGAGGATTTATTATTATTTGAATAGTAAAAAAAAAAAAAAAAAAAAAAAAAAAAAAAAAAAGGATTTTAAGAAACGATGATAGAAGTTGATTAGAACATGATCACTATGACGAATCACAAGTAATTTTTTCTCATTGTTAAAAATAAATGCAATCTGCACAATGGATTCTTTATGGACATTTGTACTGTTACTGTGTTTTATTTTGGAAATAAAATAATAATTTATATGACTGCTTGTATATTTGTGTGCATGGAAAGTCTGACATTTTTTAGAAGTTTTCAAACTCTGATTGAATTACAGATGTGTGACTGTTGTCCAATTGGCATGTCATTTGTTAACTTACCTCATTTACTAATTTGCGTCCTTGATCAGTAAGCAATCTTTTTAGTGCTCCATGACGCAAAATGACGGTTAGCAGTACTCTGCTTGTCTCCACAGTGGTTTTATTTTTTAGAGGGAAGGCCTCCACCCATTTAGTATAGTAATCAATTATAACACAAATGTAGAGATGATTGCTTTTAGTGGGCACCAGTGGACCTATCAAATCCATTCCGAGCAGGAACCATGGTTCCGTGATCTAACAAAAATTAAAAAAATATAATACTCCATATTACTAATTTGGAAAGGTTAATGTTTTGACATGAAGTACCTCAAGTTAAATAAAATTAAAAAATGAAATATGAATGAATTGATTGTGACCGTACATCAGCTGTGGGTCACAGGAGTGTACTTGTACTTTGCTGTCTGCTGATGTCACAGACTCGCTCCATAAAGATAAAGGTCAATAATGTTGGTATCCTCCTAGATTGAGCATTGGCAGCTGGCTGAGCTCACCCTTAGTGCAATACTGAGAACCTGAGCAGGACACTGCGTTCCCTGCCTAGCCATGTACTCCAATGAGTGCTAAATGGGTAGAGCAGAGAACAGCTTACTGGTGGTCATCACTCTTTATCCATTGAAATTATCAATGAGAACTGGCTGATCATTGGGAATGTACTTTTTTTTTTATTTCTCCGTGAGGGAATTAGAATGAGATAGATACAGTATTATACCAATGCAACTCATTGCAAATCCATGTTTTTTCCTTTAATCTGCTTATTCCTGGTCAGGCAGTAGCCTTTTTGTTTTGATGACAAGCTAACCTTGTCACGGATAGCACGATCGGCACCCTCAACATGCGACGATCGCACGACGACCGCGATGTCCAATATGTCACGATCGTGGCGTCAGACCTTCTCACCAAACTCGTGACCGAAGGACTGGCTGATCTAAAACCGTGATGTGACATGCGTAACAATGCCACACTCAGCTGCACCCTGCACAGCGATTTTCCAGCTAATGGACTACAATCTGTGCCTGCAGCCTGAATGCGCTTGTTACTGGGTCAGGTTAATTACACAACTAACCCTTTCACACTGCCACCACCTCCTTTTTGTACAGAGAAAGAGGAAACGCGCATTATCAGTTATAACACTATAATGATTGCAATAATCATCTGTATAAAACGGTCTGCAGGCCGGTTATACAGAGGTTTAAACAAACAGTAGCGTCTCTTCAAAGGCAGGGATTCGTAAATTGCAATTAAAGAACTATAGGAACTATTCAGAACGAGAGATTAATAAAAGGGTCAAACCGGTGCAATAAAAATATTTACAGAGAAGATGTAACTAAGATATATAGATACATATATAAAGAACCATAGCACAGCAAAGAGATAATAGGAAAGAAGTTACAGGGTTAAGTTACTTGCCAGTACGCCTTGGCTTGTAAGCAGATCCAGTTTGCAGAGCGAAAGGGGTACGGATGTTAAAAATGGGAGATGTGTTTAACTTCCTCTTTAGGCCTGCTAGCCTGTTTTTTAAAGTCCCCCAGCAGGGGGGTGGCAATGAGTAACTGACCAATACTCTGTTCAGGGAGGGATTGGCAGGTGGAACCCAAAATTAGAACCAGCATCTTTCATAATTCATATTCTGGCCTATAACTTCCCAGCTGCACAAGTGGCAATCTCTCAGCGGGTATTTTATTATGCAGATAAGTCTAAAGATCATGTAGATATGAATTATGAAATTGAACGTTACACGGTGTACGAGTTCTATGTTTTGGCTCCCCTGATGATCTGAGGTGGACGAGTGACCCATCGAAATGTTAGTCTGCGCATTGGCCATCTGGCGAGGTGCCCGGTTTTTATGTAAGTCTTCCATATTTCAAGATATGAAACATAGGGGAAAACTGGATCTTTTAAAAACGTTATCTGGTTTGTGCTTCTTGGGAATGCCTTGAACTCTTGGGAAGGCTCTGTTATCTTTTCCCGAGGTGTGAAATTACACAGGTTCTTTGGACAGTGTGGTGTCATGTGGCTCCCTGCTGGGATCTGGCCTGTGACACTTAACAAGCACACACATCTGTCACTGTGCCTCTCGGGGGGGGGGGGGGGGGGGGGGAGAAAGGAGGAAGATGGAGATGTCTACAAAATGGTTGCACCGCGTCCATCTCTGATGTGCAAGTTCGCGACAAACCTGACCTGTTATTTTTCCGTATTTTTTAAATTATGGATAACATGACTGTCAGGAATGGACTGGCCAGCAATGGTGGGACTCACCTGCCTTTTGATCTGCAGTACCAGGGCTGGCCAGCGGATGCTCCCAGCAATCAGAGACTCAACTTTGCAGCCAGCTAACACCTGGAACTGATTATGCTGGGGTATTTAAGGGATGGCCAGACCCACAGACTCGGCCTTGGTGTTGTGTTTGTCCTGGGCCCTGTATCCTGTGTCTGTCCTGCATCCTGTTTCTGAACCGCTGCCGACTTCTCCTGCTCTGATCCCGGCTCGCTCTTGACCATCCCTCTGCCTGACCCTCTGTACCACGCTGCTTGCTACCTGTTCTGATCCCTGGCTTGTGACCCTGACCATCCCTCTGCCTGACCCTCTGTACTACGCTGCTTGCTACCTGCTGAACCTGGCCTGTGACCCCCGACCAATCTCCGCTTGCTCCCCCTGTACCTACCTGCCCTATTGATATTGACCCGGCCTGCCTGACGACGCTTGCTTGTATGTACTGTTATCTGTGGGTGGTTGGTTTAGTTGCACTGTATTATGTTTTAGTATTGCACTGCGTTTATGTTTGTATTGTTAGTGTTAATAAATTATATTGTTTATAACATATCTGAGGTCTGCGTTTCCCTGCGTCAGCCACACACCTCTGGTCACACCTGGGAGCCCTGACATTACACCAAGGCCAATCCTGACCAGAAGTGGCTGCACAGGGAAGCCATCTTGGCTTGTTGCTGGGAAGGATGGATCTGGATGAGGTTGTGTATTTATATCTGCTAGTGTTTGATGACAGGGAGTATGCTTATCAAACTCTGAAGGAGTATCCCAGGGATCAACTACTAGAATGTATACGGCTCGCTCATGTTCTAGTAGATCAGGGCACAGAGTTCTCTGAGGTGCAGCCTTTGATTGAGGTTTGTGCTGAGTTCGTTTCATCTGGTACCCCCCGAATGCAGGGATGAATTTTTGCCACCATTTAGTGCAGACCAGGTAGAGTCCCTGGTGTGGTTATTAGAGGATGATGTGTGTTACTTTCTGGAGCGTTATTCCACATGTTCACCACAGGTACTAAGAGATTGTATAAACGCAGTGCAGTCATTGACCAGACAGGCTTTGTGTAAGCTCAGCTTTGTTCAACCCATACTGCAGACATGGACAGACTTGTTGCACCCAGCCTCAGTCAGCTTACAAAAACCCAGTCCTGCTTCTAACTCTACTCTGTATTCCCAACAGCTCCTCCAGTTACAGCCCAGTATACTTGGCTATCTACCGCATGTCAGTCCCCTGTTCCCACTCGCTGCACCTATCCTGCCTTTAACCCTGTAAAAAAGCTCTCTGTAGCAACTGCTCCCTCTCCTGTTCCATCCTCCCAGTTCTTCTCTGTCTCCAGCTGCTCCATTCGTTTGCAGACCTGCGTTTACTTGCAGTGCTCCAGTAGTTAAAACCAGAAAAAAAGCAAAAATTCTTTCCAACCAATACCATCCTGCCAGTATCCAAACCAATGAACCTGCCTTCCGTGGTTCAGCCTGATGCCTGTACACGGCCGGCCGGAAGCCTCTCCTCGGCCGGAAGCCTCTCCTCGATGCCGGAAGCCTCTCCTCGGCCGGAAGCCTCTCCTCGGCCGGAAGCCTCTCCTCGGCCGGAAGCCTCTCCTCGGCCGGAAGCCTCTCCCTCGGCCTGAAGCCTCTCCTCGGCCTGAAGCCTGCATTCAGCCTGATGCCGCTACTCAGCATGGTGAACTGATCCAGCCCGACGATCCTATTAGGCCAGTTGACTCGATGCCCGCTGTTGATCCAGATGTTCCGGTACCTGATCCAGTGCCCGCTGTTCCGCCAGACGACTCGAAGCCTGCTGTTCCGCCAGTTGGCTCGGTGCCCGCAGTCTTGCCAGACGACTCGGTGCCCGCAGTCTTGCCAGACGACTCGGTGCCCGCAGTCTTGCCAGACGACTCGGTGCCCGCAGTCTTGCCAGACGACTCGGTGCCCGCAGTCTTGCCAGACGACTCGGTGCCCGCTGTTCCGCCAGTTGACTCGGTGCCCGCAGTCTTGCCAGACGACTCGGTGCCCACTGTCGTGCCTGGTGACTCTGTGCCCGCCGCTTCGTCTGGGGGCCTGAGACCTGTCGCTCCGCCTGAGGGCCCGAGACCTGTCGCTCCATCTGGGGGTCCGGCGCCCCGCCGCTCCACCTGGGGGTCCGGCGCCTGTCCCCCCGCCCGGGGCCCGGTGCCTGCCGCTTCGCCTGGTAGCCCGATGTGCCTCTGCCCGGAGTCCAGCCCGATGTGCCTCTGCCCGGTGTGCCTCTGCCCGGAGTCCAGCCCGGTGTGCCTCTGCCCGGAGTCCAGCCCGGTGTGCCTCTGCCCGGAGTCCAGCCCGGTGTGCCTCTGCCCGGAGTCCAGCCCGGTGTGCCTCTGCCCGGAGTCCAGCCCGGTGTGCCTCTGCCCGGAGTCCAGCCCGGTGTGCCTCTGCCCGGAGTCCAGCCCGGTGTGCTTCTGCCCGGAGTCCAGCCCGGTGTGCTTCTGCCCAGTGTGCCTCTGCCCGGAGTCCAGCCCGATGTGCCTCTGCCCGGTGTACCGCTGCCCGGAGTCCAGCCCGGTGTGCCAGTCTTTGATATCCCGCCAGTTACCAGACCCGGGCGGTGGAACATTTTTCCCAGCTAGGACTGTTTGGAGCATCCTGAGGCCGCTCCTTGAGGGGGGGTACTGTCAGGAATGGACTGGCCAGCAATGGTGGGACTCACCTGCCTTTTGATCTGCAGTACCAGGGCTGGCCAGCGGATGCTCCCAGCAATCGGAGACTCAACTTTGCAGCCAGCTAACACCTGGAACTAATTATGCTGGGGTATTTAAGGGATGGCCAGACCCACAGACTCGGCCTTGGTGTTGTGTTTGTCCTGGGCCCTGTATCTGTCCTGCATCCTGTTTCTGAACCGCTGCTGACTTCTCCTGCTCTGATCCCGGCTCGCTCTTGACCATCCCTCTGCCTGACCCTCTGTACCACGCTGCTTGCTACCTGTTCTGATCCCTGGCTTGTGACCCTGACCATCCCTCTGCCTGACCCTCTGTACTACGCTGCTTTCTACCTGCTGAACCTGGCCTGTGACCCCGACCAATCTCTGCTTGCTCCCCCTGTACCTACCTGCCCTATTGATATTGACCCGGCCTGCCTGACGACGCTTGCTTGTATGTACTGTTATCTGTGGGTGGTTGGTTTGGTTTGGTTGCACTGTATTATGTTTTAGTATTGCACTGCGTTTATGTTTGTATTGTTAGTGTTAATAAATTATATTGTTTATAACATATCTGAGGTCTGCGTTTCCCTGCGTCAGCCACACACCTCTGGTCACACCTGGGAGCCCTGACAATGACCCTTTCAGTGTAGTCGCTGTTAGTACAAAGGTGTCTGTAGATGTTTCATATTTTCAACAGGATATATGATGCTAAGCTATTACATATTTGACACTTTTGCTTGATCTCATGTTTTTAGGTCAACGTTGAAAATCTAAAACAGATAGTGCTTTGGGGAAACCGTGACCATAAGGTGAGTAAACAGTATTTAACAGGCCTGATTAAATGTGACTAATGTATTTTTCTTTACATATATTTTGTTGTTGCAGATGCAAAAGTTACTGTTACATAGACATGTTGGTTGTTATGTAAAAATGTGCAAAATGTAACAATTGTGCTACAATAAAATGACATTCGGAATACATTGACACCATATGCTTAGGAATGAATAATGTGCCTGTGTTAACCACTTGAGCCCCAGAGGATTTACCCCCCTTAATGACCAGGCCTTTTTTTGCTGTTTGGCGCTGCACTAATTCAAATGATAATTGCGCGGTCATGCAATGCTGTACCCAAACAAAATTTACGTCCTTTTCTTCACACAAATGGAGCTTTCTTTTGGTGGTATTTGATCACCTGTGTGCTTTTTATTTTCGGCGCTATAAACAAAAAAAAACACGAAAATCTTGAAAAAAAAAAAACACAATTTTTTCTAATTTCAGCTATAAAAAATATATCGTAAACTCAAAGTTAGTCATAAATTTCAGCCAAAATGTATTCTGCTACATGTTTTTGGTAAACAAAATCCCAATAAGTGTATATTGATTGCTTTGTGTGAACGTTATAGCGTCTACAAACTATGGTATAGATAATTTGAAATTTACACAGCTTTTACTTTCTGACCGCCCATCACATCTCTTGAGGTGCTAAAATACCAGGATAGAACAAACACCCCCAAATGACCCCTTTTTGGAAAGCAGACACCCTAAGCTATCTGCTGAGAGACATATTGTGTCCATGGAAGATTTATTTTTTTTCCACAAGTTTCTGGAAAATGACAAAAACTTTTTTTTTTGTTTTTTGTTTTTTTTACACAAAATTGTCATTTAAATGATTTATTTCTTGCACAAGCCATGGGTATATGTGGAATTATACCCCAAAATACATTCTGCTACTTCTACCGAGTATGAGGATACCACACGTGTGACACTTTTTGGGAGCCTAGCCACATACAGGAGCCTGAAATCCAATGAGCACTTTGAAAGCCTGAAGGTGCGTAACTTCTTCATTTCACTTCCCCACTACCTATCACAGTTTTGGAGGCCCTGACATGCCCTCCCAAATGACCCCTTTTTGGAAAGTAGACACTCCAAGGAATTTAAAAAGAGGCATGGTAAGTATTTTGCAGATCTAATTTTTTCTCACAAGGTTTTGAAATATAAAAAAGAAAAAATATATTTTTTATTTTCTTTCTTCATTTTCCAAAAACTTGTGGTAAAAAAATAAATTCTTCTATTGATTCAACATGCCTCTCAGCAAATAGTTTGGGGTGTCTACTTTCCAAAAAGGGGTCATTTTGAGGGGTGGGGGCATTTTATGCCCAGCATTAGAGGTTTATGCCACACATCACTCACTCTTCTAACCACCTGAAGACCAAGCCTTTCTGACACTTTTTGTTCACATTAAAAAAAATCTGTATTTTTGCTAGGAAATTAAAGTGAACCCCCAAACATTATATATTTTCTTAGAGCAGACACCCTAGTAAATAAAATGGTGGGTGGTGCAATTTTTTATCTCACATATTACTTACACAGCGATTTTTCAAACGCAATTTTTTTGAAAAAATATACACTTTTTTAATTTTAATGCACAAAAAACACAATATATTTGGCCAATTATTTGGTATGATATAAAAGATGATGCTATGCTGAGTAAATAGATACCAAACATGACATGCTTTAAAATTACGCATGCCCTGTGCAATGGCGACAAACTGCATACATTTTTAATATCTATAGGCAACGCTTTAAAAGCCTTTACAAGCTACCATTTTAGATTTACAGAGGAGGTCTAGAGCTATAATTACTGCCCTTGTTCTGATGTTCGTGGCGATACCTCACATGCATGGTGCAATCGCTGTTTCCATACTGGGAAAGGGTCAACGCTCACGACCGCAGGTGTGCGCATGCGCGGATGGGCGAGGGTCCTTTTTTTTTTTTTTTTTTTTTTTTTTCTGATTTAATTATTTTTACACTGTCCCTTTAATTTTTTTTTTTTTTAATCACTTTTAATGCTATCTCAGGGAGCGGGAGGGGGGGCCATTTTTCTCCGGCTGCTTGTAAAGGCAATTCTGCAGCTAATTAACCACTAGGAATGCTTTTACATGAAAGCCCATTGCCGGCTGAAAAAAATAAAACCAGGATGATGCCTGCAGCTGCAGGCATCACCCTGGTATAACCATTCAAAGTCCAGTGATGTACCAATACGTCACTGGTCCTTGTTGGGTGTATATGCTATGTTCTTTTTTTCTTTATGCAGCCTGTGGGCTGAATGAAAAAAAAAGAGAAGAAATCTCTGCCAGAAAAAGTGTGTGGTATGCCCACCATTAGAAAACCTCCCTCAATCCACCCACTTCTAATGGTGGGCACATATGAAATGTGCCAACAAATATAAAATATATATGCCGAAGCATAGGGGCCATCCACCCACTGGCCACCCCAGGCCCCCATGCTTTGGCATATATTCTGTTTTTTATAACTGCGGATGAAAAATCTCATCCAACAGCGCTGCCCACGCTGACTTATGTCTATTCTGAGAGCAAGTTCCTGTTGCTGTCAGAATAAACAGGTCAGCGCTGCAGCTGAAAGCATTCCTGCAAACAGAAATGGTTAACAATAAAACAACAATAAACCAGTGAAAGTCGAACAATCACAAAAATGACAACAACAAAAAAAAACTATAACTATTTTTGGTTTTTTTACATTTTTTTATTTTTTTGGGGGGTATTTGTACTTTTATTTTTTTTTTTTTTTTTTTTTTTAACTTTTTTTTTCCAAACTTCAAACATTTAAACAGCTGGTAGGGTCTCTCCAAATGCGATAGCCAGTTTCCTGACTACCTAACATCTTTTGAGACCCTGTGTAAATGTGCCCTGATCTGTGCCGTGCTGTACCCTATACTAATAGTTCACTAGTGTATGGTAGAGGCGGAAGCAGGGCTTGATGCAGAGGCCAGGTTGGCCAGGACAGGAGGGACAACAATAGCGGCTGTCACGCCCAATTCCACGTTTGCTGCAGACACGACATCTTTTTTGGGGTCTTCTTTGGGTTGGGGTACCAGGAATGGTATCGAGAAAATGTCTCTCATGCAGACGGCTAACTGCATCTGGGAGAGGGATTTGGGGCGCAGCACCTTCTGGATACAAAAGGGCCCTGATGTTCTCTAACTGGAAATTTAGGTATGATCCACTATGTCCAGTTGCTTTATAGAGAACAAAAGCATTATATAGAGCCAATTGAAATAAATAAACTGACACTTTTATGTACCAGCGTTTGGATTTTCGGGAAACTAAATACGGCTGCATCATCTGGTCATTGAAGTCCACCCCTCCCATGTTAAGGTTATAATCGTGGACACAGAGGGGCTTCTCAACAACACCAGCTGCCGTGGTAATTTAGACGGTCGTATCTGCGTGAATGGAAGACAGGAGGTAAACATCCCGTTTGTCCTTCCACTTCACTGCGAGCAATTCTTCATTTCTCAAGCAGCCTTTTTCCCCCTTTTTAAAAGACGGGTATTTACAAGCCGTTGGGGGAAGCCTCGGCGATTAGATCGCACAGTGCCACATGTGCAAATTCCCAAATTGAACAAATGTCTAAATAGTGGCACGCTTGAATAAAAAAAATTGTCCACGTATAAGTGGTACCCCATATGGAAATAGGATTACGCCAAGTCCCAAACTATCTTGCCACTGCTGCTCCCCATGTAGTCTGGGCATCCGGGGGGCTCCAAGTAACTATCTTTTCCCTCGTAAATCCGAAACTTACATGTATAGCCTGTTGCCCTCTCACAGGTCTTATCTTATACATCTTGATCCCATATCTGGCACGCTTGCTGGGGAGATATTGTTTGATTACAAAGGCGGCCAGAATATTGAATGAGGGACTCATCGATGCAGATGTT